ATATTAGAGAGAGGGAGAGAGAGTGTATGTGTGAGTGGGGCGAGGGGGAGAGGGAGAGAGAGAATCCTCAAGCAGAGTCCATGCTGAGCGAGGAGCCTGATGGCAGGCTCAGTCTCAGGACCCTGAGGTCACAATCTGAGCTGAAATCAAGACTTAACTGACTGAGCCACCCAGGTACCCCTGCTCAAATACATTTTTTTAACTGTTATATATTTGATTTAAGTAGCTAATAATCTGGATACATTTTGTATTTTTATTTCCAATTTTTAAATTAAATTACAATTTAAATTACAATTGTCTAAGTACAAAATATAAAATTTCTTATGAAAGCTGTTCTTCCATACTTACAGTATAAGCTCTCATTGAGACGACTGAGGGACTGTAGGATCTTCTGCTCCCCAGCTGAGAGTGCAGAGATGTCGAATGCCTGGGTCTTATTTAAAGCCAGATTTGGTTTCTGTAGCTGCTTGCTATTCATGACAGTGAGAATTTCATCCTCAGGCACTGAAGCTTTCACTAGGCTTTCAGCCATCAAAAACTGCGAAGTACTATCTGAAACTACAGAAACTTTACATCAATTATTCTTTGATCCCTTTTTGTCTTTGGGATCTTCCCACATACCTACTTAACTGACATGCGTCTGTACGTATTCATTTCACAAATAGAAACCCAGTAAATCTTCTGTTACTTTGCATTTTATTTATCAGGATTATCTGTATCTAGCATTTTCCCATCCCTGATTAAAAAATAGAAATTCAAAATGATGGCAGGGAGGCAATGAAAACCCCTAGCGTGTTACCTGAGCTAAAGGAAAAACGCATCACCTTTAGATTATGTTTGTGTTGTGTTTTTGTTATCCATTGGTAATTCAAAGAGAAGATGAAGTAGATTGTCTTTATAATAACAATTAAGATAAGTTATGAATAAAAGAGTAAAATAAAAGGAAAGGAAAGTTAGAAGATGAGTGACAGGCTAAACAGAACTGACTGCCTAGAAACAGACCTATGAAGACACAAGAATTTAACATCTGATCAAAGAAGCATCAAAGTCTTGAGGGAAGGGAAAGATGACTCAATAAATTAGTTTACTGCTTATAAAAGAATCAACTTGCAGTTTTCCTGTACATCATCCATTTAAACAAATTCAAAGGAAATTATTTAATTTAAGGAATGAAACCATTAGAGCAATCTAGAGGAGACAGAAACACTCCTGTATTTCTGTATTGGGAAGGTTCTTTGCTTTTAAAAGTAATGGAGAAATCACTAAGTAAAGACTAAAAGACGTGTTTATTTAAAGGGCAGTCTTCCCTAACAGACTAAATTTTTGAAAGGCAAGACTTTTGTGTGTTTTATGCATTACTGTATATCCAAAATCTAGTTGTAGGCAGGAAATTAGCTCTCAATCACTTGTTGAATGAAAAAATTAATTCTAAGTATAAACATGTAAGTGGAAGAAAATGCAAATAATAAAGTAATAAAAACATTTGCAACTAATATGAAGAATAGAACCCTTGATATTTAAAGAATTTGCAGAAATCAGTAAGGAAATACCAAAACTCCAATATCCACTGGGGAAAACAATACAAAGGACCAATTCATCAGAAGTAAAGACACATACAAAAATAATTAAGCATATTATTAATAAAAGATAAACAATTCAAAACTAATAAAACACAATTTCTTTGCCTATCATGTAAGCAAATCATAGAAATAATTCTACCTCAAGTTGGCATACATCTCAGAAAAGTTTTAAACGTTATTTCTCAGGGAAATACTTCGGAATCTGCATAAGGAGCTATAACAATGCTTATTTCTTCTGATCCAGTATTCATTTAATACACAGAGTTTCGTTCAACAAATATTTATTAGGTGCCAATGACACGTCAAATAGTGTAATTGTGATTCCTGGAATCTTCGTCTTATGGAAATGATTGAAAAGTCAGGAAAAAGCTTCACGTAGAAAGATGTTCAGTACATTATTACTTAGAATAAACAAACCTGGCAACAGTCTAAATGTGCAGGATAAGGGGCTCCGATCCCACTTGGGGGCTTACCTGTCACGTAGTATGTATGTACTTGGGAAAACACACGTAACAAAAAATGAAATCACTGGGAACAAAGCTCAGAGAAAAATTTTAAACCGAAACATACCTTCTTCAACATCAGAAGTACCCCTCGTAGTGTGTTTTGGCTCACTTGAACTTGGCTGGACACTTTGCCCAAAATTCTACAAAAATATAATATTATCTCAGAATAGATTTCCATATTTAAATATTCACGATATCCATTTATTTAAAAAACATGTGCATTCTATATAGTTTCAGTTATCACTGCTCATGTAACCTGGATATTTTCTTTTTCTTGGAGCAGAAATCAAGACTTACGGGGATAAGGCCTTTCTAGGGTACCTGAAATTTTAAAACATGTTTCATGTCAATTTTGGAAAATCTTCAGGTTGCAGTGTTACCTTGGGTCTTGGAGGAGGGAAGTAAGGGGCAACAATCTACCCTAAGGTTTATGACCGAGTTGGTTTCTCACCGTAGGGGCCGAGCCTCCCACGAGGACTAGTGCCGAGGACGACACTTGCGCAGAGCCGTGAGCGGGCAGCTCGCCGCCCCGGCCGCGGGCACCTCCGCGCTCTGCGGGCCGGCTGGACGCGGCCGGTGGCCCCGCTGCCCCTGACTGCCCTGCCCCTGGCCTGCGCTCGGCCGGACCCCGAGAGTCGCTGGCGCAGGCGTGAGCGAGAGCCCCGCCGCCCTTGCCCATGGCCTCGCCCGGCCTCCGCTGGAGATGGGGTCCCGGGGGAGACGCCGTCCTGGCACAAAGTGGGACCCTGCTCCTCCCACCTTTCATGGCTCTCTCTGATTCTCTCCACGTGCAAGAACGACAAAACACATTTCCCAAAACAAGGTGACAGGGGCCATCGCTCTAGTGACTGCCCCGCGGCGGAGGCTCTTTAGTTAAAATACAAAACAAAACAAAAACCCCCAAATCAAAACAAAACAAGAGGGCTGAAAACCTTAAACTTCAAATCTTGAATTTTGATTCGGGAACACTGACCTACTCTAAAGGTAACGAGACCGTGGAAGATGTTTAAGCAGGTGTGTGAGTGGAAGGTGGACATGGGGCTTCTGGAAAGAAAAACACACATGGGCTCAAAACCAGGGAGACAGTGTGCAAAGGGGCACACCCGGACAGAGGAAGACCCCGAAAGATAAAGATGAATTTAGAGAGCGCACTCCTCAGGGGCACTTCAAGTTTAGTTCATTCTTGTTGTTGTTGTTATAACAACTATATATTGCTTCAGCATTTAAAATCATTTATACAAATAAACCCTTGTTCACTTGACAGATTCTGAGATGCTTGATGTGAACAACATGGGGCTTGAGAGGAAGGCCTTCCTAGGCATTACTGTACCTTCAGGAAGGTGAGTCTGTAAGTGAGTGCTGGGCTATTAAGCATTAAGAATAGCATGGTCACGGGGCAGCTTTATTTACATCGTACAGAACTAAATGACGTTGGTCTTGCTGTTAAGAATATATCATGGTTGATTTTCCTCCACAGTAAAAATCTTATCTATATAAAACAATAGTTCCTACAGTATACAAATAATAGAATGCTCAACTCATAAGTCGGATATAAATTCTTCATAAGGCACTCTATTTCACTGCTATCAAAAATCGGAAGTGCTACTTAGAGTAGAAATTCCAAGTGAAACGCTATTTACTCATCCCTCTAGATGTTTTAATAGGTATCTATTTATTTGGATTTTATTTACTTGACAGAGAGAGAGAGAGACAGAGGGCAAAGAGGGGGAGCAGGAGAGCGAGATGCAGGCCTCAATCCCAGGACCCTGGGATCACGACCCGAGCCGAAGGCAGATGCTCCCCCCAGGCGCTCCTGATTTAATATTTTAAATTCAATCCTTGGATGAGGTTAGATGTCCAGAAAATGTCATATTTAGGTCATGTTTACTTAGCTCTCACGGGATTACCTCCACTAATTTTAAAATGACTTTTATTAAGCTTCTGACTTTTACTGAAGATCTCTATCTCAAACAGCCACATGAAACTCCTGATTCGTCTGCTGTTGACTATGAAGAGGTGTCCATCCATTCTGAGCTCCGGGCGCCCACAGAGGGGCCTCAGGGGGGCAGTGTCTTCCTCTACTGCACCTCAAACACCATCATTATCAGTGACCCCTGAGAACCATACACCCCATCCTATTTTGCTTTTGCCGTATGTTCCAGGAAGCTCAGATCCACAGAGGATATTTAAGCACAAGAACTTGACTAGTCTTCATGATTAACACACTTAACTTCCTCTATCCAGGGCTCTCATTTACTTTTGTTTTTTTTTTTTTTTTTAAGATTTTTTTATTTATTTG